CGCCGCGCCGCGCCGCGCCGCCCGGGCTCCTGCACCCCGCAGGTCTCCCGGCCCTGGGCTGGGAGCGCGGGGCACCAGCTCCTTCCCTTTCTCATCACCTCCGCTGCGTCCCAGGCTTTTGGAGGAAATGAGTTTTCCTGGCCTCGTAGTTGGTGGAGGTTCCATTTACCTCTTCTCCAAACGTGGAAGACGGCTGAGCTTGGGTGGGGGTCCGGAAGTGCAACCTGTTTCCTATAAAAATGAGGGAAAACAGACGTGCTGCCTCTGGAGCACCTACTTTATTTGCTTCGGGTGGGAGGAGTAATCGCTTTATTATAGCCGTTAGGGACCATTTGTGATTAAAAACAATAACAACAAAACCACACTTTGCCAAGTTGCTCCTTATTTGCTGATTTTTTTGTTTGGGAGAAAAAGTCATCCAAGCTTGAAGACCCTTGGAGTCAAGTTGTTTACTTCGGTAATTAAGTGCCTGACCCGGGTGGATGCTCCTTGTTGTTTTTCCAGAAGTGTGGTTTGGTATTCTACAGACTGGGCTTGAGTGGATTCCACTTAGGTTACTGTATGAATAGTAAAAATGATACTGCCCTTTTGCTCTTGGGGAAGATAAACGCCTCTTTGAGTAGGGTGTGGATCGTGTTAAGGTGTTAGGGAATGCCCTGTTGTCTTCGGTTTTGTGTAATTTTCGCTAAAGGACTCTTAATTTAGTTCCATCCTCCAGCTTGGCAGTATTTTGGTGTCGTGTATGGATATGTGTATGCTGGTTTACCCTATATTCAAGATTTCTGTTCCATGGTAAGTCCCATGAGACTTTACCGTTTGTATTTGTAAGAAAACTTTCCTATGAAATACAGATTAATGTTTGAACTGATACTAAAATGTAAACCCAAAAGCTACACCAGGGAGTCTCCACGGTTTCTAATTTCTTAAGTATTTGGACAGGTTCATAGGCATGCCTCTTAAAACTCCACAAGCGTTTCCACACTAGGTATTTACTGGAGTATAGCAATCTTGAAGTAGTGAAATGCGTTCCTTGGTACAGTAAGTGCACGGAAGGGCTTGTAGTTAGGGTATTCTCCTATTGAGCCACATTCCCTAGGATCCTAGGTTTGAGGAGATTCTCACCTCTTCAGGAATTCTGAATTGATGAATTCAGGTGAGCAGAGTGTTCAGCATGGGTTATTAGAGCTTGTAAACTTTTGTTCTTCAATTTACATTAAATGAGATAGTTTTGGAATTTAGCCATTAAGTCTTGTATTTGTACTGGTGACAACAACATATTATTAAAACATTTTCCATTTTGGCTGAACTCGGTTTGTATCATCACAGTTGTTCCTTTAGAATCTCTCGTGGGCTGTATAAGAATTTTATGGTTAAAATATTTCATTGTGAAATTGTAATTGTTTCTTGATTGTTTGGGGGCTATTGTTTTTTGTTTTTTGGTGTGTAGTGCAGTTTCTACATCAGATTGTCAGTTCTTGGGCACACCTAAATGATGAGATACCTGAAGTTTTTTCTATAAGGAATTATTCAATTACCTCTTTTACATGAGAGATCAGAAATAACCCCAAACTAATACCATACTATTTTTTGGAAGTCTTTTTAAAAGTATGCAAAACTACAGGATTGGATTTGATGATATCTAAAGGTATAACCAGCTTAATAACTTTGCTATTCTAATGATTTTTATTAAGTGTATGAGAAATGTGTAGATTGTGAAACCTACTAGGGTTTTATAAACTCAATATCGGAATTTTTAGACCTGAAATGCGTCTCAAAGATTTAATTAGCTCTCACAGAAGAAGAAAATCAGGCTCAGGAAGATTTTTTAAAAATTATTTTATTGTAAAAATGCTGTTCAGAGGGATTATAGTTGATCAGGAAGTTTTGAGGTTCAAGTTTCTAAGATGATGCAGAGCAGAAATAATTTTCTTCTGATGTACCTTCAGTTCTTTTGGTACCTGTAAGTCTTTAAATCACATGAATTCTAGAGAAGTGGTTGAAATATTCATTTGAAATTATTATTTTTTGGGGGGGGAGGGTCGGGTCGTGGGGCCTGAACTCTGGGCCTGGGCGCTGTCCCTCAGCTCTTCAGCTCAAGGCTAGAGCTCTACCACTTGAGCCACAGCGCCACTTCCGGCTTTTTTCTTTTTGCTTATGTGGTGCTGAGGAATCCAACCCAGGGCCTCAGGCATGCAAGGCAAGCGCTCTACCACTGAGCCACCTTCCCAGCCCTCATTTGAAATTAAATTGTGATACTTAAGACAACTTAAAATATTATGGTATGTTATGACATAAAATTTGAATTAATGGGTGGTTAATGATTCTAATTAGTATATTTTTTTAATGACTAAAACTATATGGACTTTGAAATTTAAGATCCCATTTTCTGCTTTAACAGGAACTTGTAAATCTAAATCTGTTTCAGGTTGTCTGTCCAGAACTTGTTCCACTTTAAAGGAGGGTTCATCTAGAAAATTATTGAATATGTGTCCCATGCCATATACTGTTGAAGGTACTGAGGATAGGAGTGTATGTCACTACACAGACACATTGCTCTGGGGAAGGTTACCTTTTAGAAGGGAAAGAGCAGTAATAAGTATAGTTTGGAGTTTTCTTACTGTGTTAGACAGTGTCAAGTGCTCTGGGGAAGGGGATTGGAGTGCTGAGGCATGGTGGGAGTGGAGAAGGACCCAAGGAAATAGAGTATATGCAGAAATATAGTGGAGATTTTGAGGAAGAGTAAGAACAGTGAGGCTGGAGTAATATGAGAGTGTGTAGAGAGGTTCATTAGAGCAAATAAGGTATGAATGTTAGGGCGTGGGGATAGGTGTAAATGAACATTGTAAAGAATTACTACTCCCAAGAGAAATGGGAAGCCAGTAAGGGAGTAAGATAGTCCTTGTTTCTTGTGCCACATAGTGTTTTATGATAGTAGATAATTATTTTTGTGTTGGTACTGGGGCTTGAACTTAGGGCCTAGGCATATGTGGTTACCCTTAGCATTTTGCTCATGGCTGGTGAGCCACAGCTCTATTTTGGCTTTTGGGGGTTAATTGGAGATGAGTCTCTTGTAGCTATTTTTTTTTGAAAGTTACTAGAATTAGAGTTTTCTTTCTCATTAAGCTTTTATGTATAAAGTGGTTTATTCATGTAGGTACGGGGGCTTGAATTCAAGGCCTTGCCCTTACTGCTTGAACCTCACTTTCATTCCAGCATTTTGCTGGTTAATTGGAGATACTATCTCTTGAACTTTTCTGCTTGGGCTGGCTTTAAATCTCAATTCCCACCTCTTAGCTACCTGAGTAGCTTAGATTACAGGAATGAGCTTCTGGTGCCTTGTGCCTAGCAAACCTGCATAGAGTTTTAAGTTCTGTTCAATAAAAAGTAGTTGATCATCAAGGTTACTTAGTCATACTACTGTTAATAAAAACACAACAAAACCTTTTGTAGATTGTGTTCTCGTGGTTTGTTTGTGGTTTAATGAGACTGTATGCAGAAAATGGGCCTTTGGGGAGAAAAGAAATTGACATTTAGTAAGAATGTACAGTATGCTAAATTAGTTTACAACTGTTAAATTTATAGGCATTTTGTCAGCCTCCTTTTAGCATATCTGGAAATGTAGACTTCGTGGTTATAAACAGTTTGACCACAGTAAAGAGCTAGTATGTGGCAGAGCAGAGATTAAAGAGTGGTCTCTGGTTCCATGTTTTATTTTCCCAGTGGATACGGTTTACCAGCAAACACCATTTTAGTACAGGTATGGAATTTCTGACTAATTTTACCTTGGTTTCTTTCTTACCATAGTGAAGGCAAATTAGTTGTTTCCATATCAAATCATATGACATGATGTGAACATTAAGTATGTAATTGAAAATCAATCATGCCAGTAATCCTTGTTACGTGAAGGTAGATATAGGAGAATGGTAGTCCAATGCTTGGCCAGGCAAAAGGGTGAGATCCTATCTAAAAAATAACTTAAAAAGCAAAATGGTAGAGTGCTTGCCTAGCAAGTTCAAAACCCCCTCCCCCCCCATTAAAACTTTTGGTACTTGTGGTTTAAAAAATAAAATTACTAATTTTAAATTGGAGAGTAGAGTCCATTTGAGTCAAATGGCAGTTTTGATTATGGTCTTCAAGATTGGGCTAACTAAGCATTAAGAAAACCTGAGAGAGAAAAACTTCTTTTTTTCAGTGCTGATCCTGGGGATTCAATAGGCAAGCTCTCAACAACTGAACTACATCCCCAGCTGGAGAAAGCTGCCTTTTAAATTCAGTATGTGGAGAGTCAGGCCCTGGGGCCGGGTGGGTTGGGGAGGGCAGTCCATACCTGTAATCCTTGCATTTGGATAGTGCAGGAGAGGCTCATGAGTGTGAGTTTGAGGCCAGTAGAGGCTATGTAGCAAAAGCACAACCAGCCTGGAGATGGTGGTGGTACTGGTACTGATTGTTGAACTCAGGGCCTTGTTCTTCCTAGGCAGGCCCTCTGCCTCTTGAGCCACATTCCAGCCCTTTTTTTGCCTTCATTTTTTTCAGTAGGGTCTTGTATATGTGTCTGGGTTGGGACTAGCCTGTACAATCTGCCTGTTTAAGCTTTTCTTATGTCTAGGATGCCAGGCACTCATCCAGCTACTGATTGAGATGGGGGTCTTACACTTATGCTGGCCTTGAACCTTGATTCTCCCAATCTCTTCTTCCAGAGTAGCTGGGATTACAGACGTGAGCACCTGTTGCTCAACACTGAACATAAAAATAAATTGCTGAGGAAGTGGTGCTGTGGCTCAAGCGGTAGAGCGCTCGCCTTGTCCTGAAGAGCACAAGGACAGCGCCCAAACCCAGAGTTCAAGCCCCACGACCGACAAAAAAAAAAAAAAATGAGAAAAGAAAAATAAATTGCTGAAATACATAACCTGTTCCATTATAGTATATTGGATTTTTTGTTTCAATAATCACTTGTTTATTTTATACAATCTTAATATTTCTATTCAGAATGTATGTAGATACCAAATCTTAGTTTTTGTTTTTTCAAGGTTCATTCTTATTAAATATTGTATGATTGTTGTATGCTAACTACTGTAATAAGTTACAGAAATATAATTGACCCTGGGGTAATTGTTTTTGAGATGGGGATCTTGCTATATAGTGCATACTCCTGGGCCATCTCTCAGGCTCCTGGGTGGTGAGGAAAATTGGTGTGAACCAATATACCCCATTTGGAAATCAAATTTAAATTAGCTATTTTCATTGCTTCATAGAGGTTAAACAAATTTGGGAGAACAATTGAAATCTGGCTAACAAAAGTAAAAATTTAAGGTTCTTTTTATTTCTTAGGTGGTCAGAACTAACAAAAATAACTTTATTAGTCAAAACGTACTCTGTTCTAAAATCAAGACATTTTTGTATTTATAATGGTAACCATCTTTTGAATGGTCTAATTCTGAAGAGTGATGAGGAGAAAATCATTTAACTTTCCATTAAAAGGATATTTTTGAAAAATCTATGGAGAAGCCCAGTGCTGGTGGCTCATGCCTGTAATCCTAACTATTCAAGAGGCTGAGATTTGAGGATAGTTCAAAACCAGCTTGGGCCAGGAAAGTTTGTAAGACTCTTAGGCCCAATTAACCACCAAATAAGACAAAGCTGAAAGCGGCACTAGCCTTGAGCAAAAAACTCAGGGACAGCATCCAGACCCTAAGCCCTAGTAGTGGTACCCAAAACAACAAAACCCCAACAACAACAAAAATCCTATCTGGAAATGTTACAAAGTCAGTTTGTATCACAGGTATACTTCCTGA